GAAGCCAACCTAGACAAGATCAGAGCTACCTTGGAGATGAAGTCCCCAACCTCAATGAAGGAGGTCTTGCGCCTTAACAGGAGGATAACAACCCTCAACAGGTTTGTCTCAAAGTCATCAGACAAGTGCCTACCTATCTTCAAAATCCACCGCAAGTCTTTCTAGTCGGGACCAGATGTAGAGGAGACTTTCCGGAAGCTCAAGGCTTACCTCGTCATACCACCTTTCCTCTCTTATACTGTATCGGGAGACCTTGTATCTCTATCTCTCCTCTTCACCCTCTGTCATAAGCTCTATCCTTGCCTGGGAGGATGGAGGCATCCATAAGCCGGTGTACTATGTAAGTAGGGCATAACGAGGGACATAAGTAAGGTACTCGGAGCTTGAAAAATTGGCTCTCGAACATGTCACCATCGCCAGACGTTTATGCCACTACTGTCAGAGCCATACCATCGTGGTCATTATAGATCAACCACTTAAGAGAATTCTGAAAAAGCCTGATGTGTCCGGCTGACTACTCAAATAGGCCATCGAGTTAAGTGAGCTTAATGTGCAGTACCAGTTGAAGTCCCAAAAGTCTACACCACCATAGCAAAAGTCCCAGAAGGAAGTCTCGAAAGTCTAAACCACCATAGCAGTCCCGGAAAGAAGTATAGTGCGCCCTGACACTCATTTGCTTAGTGCATAATGCCTCCACCCCACCATGAGGCAAGTCCAAACACCATCCCAAGAGAGCCCGACGTCTCGGAGACAACTTTACAGGCCTCGGGAGGCCACACTCTAAGACTAGAGACGCCCGACTCCCTTATGCCTACTCCACCAAAGCCCTCTGGGCCCTCGTTACCATTTACTGTACAATATTGGAGACTGTACGTGGATGTATCCTCCATTAGCGAGGGCGACGGAGTGGGACTAGTGCTAATCAACCCCCATGGCACTCCACTCAAGTAAGCTGTCTCCCTCCACTTTGCAACATCTAACAACCAAACTGAATATGAGGCTCTCATATCATGCTTGAAGCTCGCATTGAAGATGGAGGCCCTCTGCTTGACAACCTATAGTGACTTACAACAAATAGTCAACCAGGTGAGAGGAGAATTTGAAGCAAAGGAGGAAAAAATGCATGAATACCNATAAGCCTTGAGGATACTCTGAATCAATTCATGCAAAGCCAAATGAACTACAACAATAATTCCAATTAGGCTTTCACTGATTTCAAAACACAGACTACTTAATCTTTTGAGGACCTTAAAAGCCACATTCAAAAGTTGACCCAATCCATGACCACACATGAGNCCTGTCAGTAGTCCAGGCTTTGTTAAAAATGTTTACCTACTTTCAAATCCACCATGTGATCTGAGAGGAGAAATCCATGGCAAATGCCCTTGCCAAATTCAAGTCTACCAACATANCTTGTCAGTAGTCTAGGCTTTGTTAAAAATGTTTACCTACTTTCAAATCCACCATGTGCTCTGAGAGGAGAAATCCATGGCAAATGCCCTTGCCAAATTCAAGTCTACCAACATACCTATTGGCCCAATACTGATAGACCACCAGTTAGAGCCAAACACTTTCAAGATAGAGGAGGATGATGTTAATTGTACAACCTCTAAGACCAACTGGATGGCACCCATCTGAGCCTACCTAGAGGAGGGCGTTCTCCCGGACAACCCAGTGGAAGCCAACAAGTTGAGGATGAGAGTGTCCAGGTATGTCATCTTATGCAACATACTCTACAAAAAGAGTTACTCATTGCCACTACTTCCCTGTCTTACCCTCGAGGAATCTGATTATGCCATGAGAGAAATCCATAAGAGGATATGTGAAAATCACTCAAAAGGGCGTGCACTGGCCCACAAAATAGTAAAACAAGGCTATTACTAGCCTAGCTTGATCAGAGACTCCCAAGAGTACGCTAGAAAAGTGTGATAACTGTTAACGTTTTGTAATTGTACCTAGATAGCCACTTGAAGAGTTTACCACCATTTAGAGCCTCTGACCCTTATCCATGTGGGGGATTGACATCCTGGGTCCCTTACCCATAAGTCGAGGCTAGTGCAATTTGGAAGTCGAAGCCTTGGCAAGGATAACAGACCAGAAGGTGAAAGACTTCATTTGGAAGAGCATAGTCTGCCGCTTTGGGATACCCCATACCATTGTGAGTGACAACACTAAACAGTTTGACAATAAATTCCTTAACAACTTATGCGTTGATCTATAGATCAAGCAACCCCACTCCATCCTAGCCCATCCACAGACGAACGGATAGGCGGAGGTCACCGTCATAACTGTCCTCCACAACCTGAAAACCAGATTGGAACGTGCGAAGGGGAGATGGGTGGATGAACTCCCGTGAGTATTGTGGGCTTATCGGACAACACCAAGAAGCCTCACGGGTAAGACCTCTTTTTTCCTAGCCCACGGGATAAAGGCAGTTATACCTGTTGAGATTGGAGTACACTCCCTTAGGTTCCAACATTATGACCCTTCTAGTAATAAAGAAGACCTCTATATCAACCTTGACTTAGTAGAAGAGGAGAGAGAGATAGCCATGCTTAGGAATGCAGAGTACAAGCATCGCATGACTAATTACTAAAATTTGAGGGTGAAGCCTCGCTCCTTGTTGCCCGGGGACCTAGTCCTCAAAAAGGTCATATTATCTACCAAATACTCCCAGAAAGGAAAGTTACAACCTAACTAGGAAGGATCCTACATGATCACGAAAGTTGTAAGACCGGCCACCTACAGAATCTAGAATCATGAGGGGAAAATTTTGGCTCATTCATGGAATGCAGAACACCTAAAGAAATATTACCAGTAGCTGGGGGCAAGAAAATGAGTGCATAAGTCCGTAGTTACCATTTAGATTATCTATTGTTGTTTTGATCAATTTCTCTTGATATTTACTTCGGATTATGAAATAAAATTTCGCAATTCTTTTTCAAAAAAAAGTTGTATCTCATAGAAGTTCATAAAGCATTTACGAAAGATAGAACATGACCTAGCAACAAAAACACAAATACAAAGACACCATGATCATGATGTCACTCACTACCCCTGACTCGCTCGCCTCCTCTTAATCAGTCCCTAGAGCCTTATATGGGACAAAGCCAGAAAATTCATAATCGGGAAAAGCTACTGAGACTTTCCCATTGAGCTCCTCGTCGCCATCAATAAAGGCGTCTGCCACGGCCCTCTTAGTAGCATCTCTCTTGTTCTCCATCTCCATGGAGTAAGCATCAGCCCTGGTAGCTCTCTCAGGAGTTGCTCGAAGGTCAACTTCTTCTCTAGCGGCCCTCTCACGGGATGATCGAAGCTTTGTCTTTGCTCTCGTGCAGGCAGCCTCTCTGCCAGCCTCCAGCTGCGGCCCTCTCATGGGACACCTGAAGCTTGGTCTCACGTATGGCAACTCTATCATGTGCTGGCCTCAACTGCTTCTCGATAGCCTCTCGCACCTGTCTCTTGAGCCCTAGCTCTACACCTGCCTTTACGCTGTCTGACAACTAAACGCCTCTCTAAGCTTCAGCGTGCTCGAAAACAAGCAAGGAAAGGAAGAAGCCACCTACAGGTATCCAAAAGATAGAGCATGAAAGAAGGAAGTCAGGTATAAGATCAAAGATGAGTAAATGGCATATCAAAGCAAAGCCCTCCATCGTTGTGTCGATGATGCCCTTTGGACCTCGAGAACCAACCTCTTGGATCTCTGCGATAGTCATAAACCCCCATAGTTGCTCCTTGAATCAGATTCTCGTCCTATAGTATGGACACCAAACCATTACTAGAAGAAAAACAGCTAAGCGGAGCCTTAGTCCTCGTAGGAGACTGCACTGAAGCCTTAATCCCTACGACCATAATGGGATGAACTCTGGAAGGCGATGGCACCACAATAGGGGAAGTAGTGGGGGCATCACCAAGTCCCATCTCTCGGGGACTATCTTGACTAGCAGACCTTGGCTGAGAGACACCGATGGCATTAGACCTCGCCCTCTTAGAAGAAGGAGGGGAAGATGCCACCCTAGAAGCGTAGATAGCCTCCACCAGCGCCCTATCAATAGAAGTACCTGCAAACTTGGTGTGAGACAAAAAACTTACGATCTCATAACCATCAAAAGTCTATTGGAAGGATCAGGTTTCTTTCCTCTTCGGCTTATGAGAAACCTTGGAACGACCTGACGTAGACATAATCTCTGATAATTCCTTGAAAGGATGGTCACGAACTATCTGGAGCCTACTCTCTTGCTCTGTAGATAATGTGGGTGAAACTACATAGAAGCCAATCATACAGTGAGAACAAATATGTGACGACTAGAAGTAAAAACGAAAGTGGAATCCAGTTCGACGGAAGTAAAAAAGATAGTTCGAAGGAAGCCAGTGATAAACTTGCCTGATCTTGGGGCAAAACGACACCATCCTTGATGAGGAAAGGGATTATCCAGAAGTACATACGTGGCCAAAAAACTCCTCGAATGGGGGAGGGACGTCATAATTGTAAACCAACCGCCATAATGAGAAGAATGCCAATATCACCCTCCACTTGTTGGGAGCCAACCTCCTGGGAGCTAGTGACAGATGTCCTAGGACCCGACATATGGGCCTAGGTATCGGGAACCTCAAACCCGCCTCTAAGGCTTCCACATAAAGAAAAATCTCACCCGAGGAGTCACTACACGCTAACTCATCCTCCTCCGCCCGACGACACATGAGAGCAGGAGGGATATGGTATGAAGATACGATATGAGCGATATAATCATCATAGTCAATGAAGCTGAATATGGAAGATACCTTTGAGCCATTATCTCTAGCAGATGCCTTACTTCACTCAATGTCCCGAGTAGCCTCCCCCACAATGACCATGTTAGAGTGGGTGCCTACCAACAAATAGAACCAAGACAGAATCAAGGTCAATGTCAAGGGAATACTAGTATTTGTTGGGCTTTTTGAGAAGCCTAGTTGTGTTTGGTCCGGATGATGATCCGAACCAAAATAATATTATGTGACTTTTAATGAAAAATTTTTGAGCCTTCACTGGCGTCGCCCAAGCCTCCGCTGGCATCGATTGCCTGGTATCCATTGCCTTCGCATGTGCCATCGGGACCACTAGCCTCCCTGATCACTTCGACATCCCTAGAATCCCCAAAAGCAACATGGACTCCATCTAGGCTAAGATCACTGACGCCCATCAAACGTCTTGCGCTACCTAGTGGACCACTGACGTGGCCAGCTGATTGCCACCCACCATGGGCGCCATCTCCATTGATTCTTTGCCTCGAAGCGTTGTCTGTACCTCCTGCGCTGAGACGCCATCCTCCTCCTCCCTATTGATCTAGCCCCAACTCCGATAGCGTCACCTCTCATAGGCCAACTGGTGCGCGCCTCCCACAGGCCCACTGAAGTCGCCTCTTACAGGCTTAATGGCGTCACCCTTCACAGGCCTATCGGTTTCGCCCAATGAAGTGTCGTCGTCGCCTGGCGCGTTGGCGCCACCTCCCAGCGCTCCAAGCTTGGCATCCTCCTCACCCCTCGTCCTCGCCCTTGATCACAGTGCTGCCTGGTCCAAACTCTTTGACACCATCAATAACACTGCTCTCTTTGTTGCAGGGGGCATCGCCCATAGAGTTGGCGCCACCCATCCTTTCATCGGCGTCGCCAACTTAGGTCACAACAGCTGGATTAGGGCTGTCCCAACCCATTGAAGCTCAATCGATGTTAGCAAAGCCGTTGGAGGTGTGAACCACGTCGCGCAAACCCATACCGCGGTTCTCCACCACACTCTGGGCGTCGCCTAACGCCTAGGCCGACTCCTTTGAGCCATCAATCGCCTCGTCGACTGCACCCATGGTTGAGCCCTTGTTCCGGCCTCTACCTCCCTTATCCTTCATCAAGATTTCCCACATAGAACCATTAGAAACACCCCTCTTCCTCTTCTCCTTTGTCTCTATACTTATCTCCTTCAAGTTTGCCCAATATTTTATGGAATGTGAAAAAAAAAGAAAATGGTGATTTTAAGCCCTAGTTCTAGAGAGGAATATGATGGATTTTGCCAAAAAATGCTCTTTAAAGCTTGGGTGAAAGAGGAGACCTCGCCGTCGAGTTTACCTAGCTATTGGAATATCACTATCGAAACAATGGGTTTTTCAACCACAGTGATTATCAAATCAAGCGAGCGAGCTCTTAAGGTGCAAATGAAGCAAAAGATTGAAGAAGCTACCACCGTGCAAGACAAGGTATCTTTTTCGGGTAAAGAAACTACCACAATGCATAACAGGAAACCCTCATCTGTCCAAAGATTCTCATGCTCTCAACCTCTTGCTACCTCAAGGGCTTGGGGCATGGGGGGCAAATGACGAGCCCCAATGTAACTGGGTCAGGTCCAATAAATCAAGTAAGCCCAAATCAGCTAAAAGATAGGTTAAGATTAGTTCGAGAATTCGACCTAGTCCAAGTTCAAAGGAGTCCAAGAAGAATTAGAACATGTGGGAAACAATCATCGAGATACCCACTCTCGAAGATCAAGGCACCCTTTAATTATACTTACCTTTTGTAGCTATCCTCCCCAAAGGATTAGTGCCTTCCCTCTTAAGTCACCACCTCAACTAAGGCTCTGTGCTTATAAATTGTAAGCTCTCTCCATTGAGAGGAGTATCTCTACACCTTTCTACACACCCTACACGTAGCTTTTCTCTCTCTTAGTTATTGTATCCCTCATGGGGCTAACTATTGCTCTCTCTCATTCACCTTACTTAATCAATAAAAGGTCTCCCGACCATCGATGTCGTTTTTCAGAGTGAAGTAAGTCACTCGGACCGAATCACTACATATCTGCGTGTTGACCTGGTATTTACATTATTGCCATTGATTGCTCTATTAATTGTCCATTAATTATACTTTATTACACACTCGACTGTTGATCTTGTATAAGCATGTTTTGTGCATCATCAAAATCAAAGACTTTAATCAAACTATATATATATATATATATATATAATGACGTGAAAGACTTTTTCTTTTAATATGGCATGAGTAATTATTATTGGTGCTTATTGTGTCAACGCCTGTGTGACAACCATGACCATTAACGACGAATGTGTTGAGAAACTGGGTGCCGCCAACATCACAAAAAATAGTTTTAAAATCCCCAATTTATATAAANAAAAAAAAAGAAAATGGTGATTTTAAGCCCTAGTTCTAGAGAGGAATATGATGGATTTTGCCAAAAAATGCTCTTTAAAGCTTGGGTGAAAGAGGAGACCTCGCCGTCGAGTTTACCTAGCTATTGGAATATCACTATCGAAACAATGGGTTTTTCAACCACAGTGATTATCAAATCAAGCGAGCGAGCTCTTAAGGTGCAAATGAAGCAAAAGATTGAAGAAGCTACCACCGTGCAAGACAAGGTATCTTTTTCGGGTAAAGAAACTACCACAATGCATAACAGGAAACCCTCATCTGTCCAAAGATTCTCATGCTCTCAACCTCTTGCTACCTCAAGGGCTTGGGGCATGGGGGGCAAATGACGAGCCCCAATGTAACTGGGTCAGGTCCAATAAATCAAGTAAGCCCAAATCAGCTAAAAGATAGGTTAAGATTAGTTCGAGAATTCGACCTAGTCCAAGTTCAAAGGAGTCCAAGAAGAATTAGAACATGTGGGAAACAATCATCGAGATACCCACTCTCGAAGATCAAGGCACCCTTTAATTATACTTACCTTTTGTAGCTATCCTCCCCAAAGGATTAGTGCCTTCCCTCTTAAGTCACCACCTCAACTAAGGCTCTGTGCTTATAAATTGTAAGCTCTCTCCATTGAGAGGAGTATCTCTACACCTTTCTACACACCCTACACGTAGCTTTTCTCTCTCTTAGTTATTGTATCCCTCATGGGGCTAACTATTGCTCTCTCTCATTCACCTTACTTAATCAATAAAAGGTCTCCCGACCATCGATGTCGTTTTTCAGAGTGGAGTAGGTCACTCGGACCGAATCACTACATATCTGCGTGTTGACCTGGTATTTACATTATTGCCATTGATTGCTCTATTAATTGTTCATTAATTATACTTTATTACACACTCGACTGTTGATCTTGTATAAGCATGTTTTGTGCATCATCAAAATCAAAGACTTTAATCAAACTATATATATATATATATATATATAATGACGTGAAAGACTTTTTCTTTTAATATGGCATGAGTAATTATTATTGGTGCTTATTGTGTCAACGCCTGTGTGACAACCATGACCATTAACGACGAATGTGTTGAGAAACTGGGTGCCGCCAACATCACAAAAAATAGTTTTAAAATCCCCAATTTATATAAATAAAAATATAAAATAAATTGGGTTCTAAACTCATATACGATAGACTCTGATACCACATGTACGAATTTTTAATGATTTGTATATGAAATTTAGAATACCTAAATTACAAGATTTAGAACATACCTGTATGAGTTATGATACTCAATCTCTGGATTTCTTTCGTGAAAGGACAAGGTATTCCTTTCTTTCTTCAAAGTAATAGGCGGCTCTCAATAAGACAAGCCAAATTAGGTTATAAAGTGGAGAGGGGACCTAGCCTACTATTTATAATGAATCTAATGGACTTCTCCCAGTACGGGTCATAATTAGATTAAGGCCTATACGTAACCGCCTCAACCATTTCAATTAAAAAGATATACTTAAGCCCATCAAAATAGATCATTTAACAATATTGAGCTCATCTCATGAGACCATAAATTCAACCCGTTTTTCACAAAACCCAAAATAAACTATTAATTAATGGAAGTCCAACATGAAAAAATTCCAACAAAAAGTTCTCAACAAAATTGCCTATTTAATCACCTCATAGCATGCAACTAACACAACCTCCATAGTTAAAGCTGCTGTTAATTTCTGTTTAGTACTTCTCCAAGAGATTGCACCATTAGCAAACAAAAATATATATCCTGATATTGATCGCTTGCTATCTGGGCATGGTGCAAAGTCATAATTTGTATATCCGACAACCACTAGAGAATCAGATCTACTGTATGTAAGCATATAATCTTGTATTCCTTGCAGATATCTATGCACCTTATTTGTAGCTCTCTAGTGATCCAAATCTAGGTCACTCTGGAATCTACCCAATACACCAACTACAAATGCAATATCGGGTCGGGTGTAAATTTGGGCATACATTAATGTCCCAAAATGTGATGCATAAGGATATGCTCTCATCTGCTCCCTTTCAATCTTATTTCTCGGGGATTGAGACTTACTTAATCTGTCACCTTTAGACATACGGGTAGGGCTTGGTTTGGAGTTTTTCATACCATACCTCTCCAATATTTTCTTAATATAGGTCCTTTGAGATAGATAAAGTTTTTCTCTAGATATATTTTGTGAACCTCTATGCCTCTGACATACGAGGGCTCACCCATATCCTTCATTTCAAAATGATTGGAGAGAAAATTCTTAGTCTCAATAAGCAACGACAAATCACTACTAGCAAGTAAAATATCATCTACATATAGGACTAGAACAATGAATCGACTCCCACTAATCTTAAGGTATCTACAACAATCAACAATATTTTATACGAAACCAAATGAAGAAATCACATTGTTGAACTTAAGATACCATTGACGAGAAGACTACTTAAGTCCATATATAAACTTATTTAGCTTGCAAACTATATTACTCTGTCCCTCTGAAGTAAAACCCTCAGGTTGTTTCAAGTACACCTCTTCTTCCAAATCATTATTGAGAAAAGATGCTCTCAGATCCATTTGGTGAATCTCCGAGCCAAAATGAGCCACCATAGCCATAATTATCCTTAGAGAGTCTTTCTTAGAAATAGGTGAGAAATCTCATTGTAATCAATGCCTTCCTTTTGAGTGATCCCCTTGGCAACAAGTCTGGCCTTATGTAGTTCTACCTTTCCTTTAGAGTCTCTTTTGATTTTGTAGATCCATTTATAGCTGACTGCAGTGGTACTAGGAGGTAGTTCAACTAGTTTCCAAACAATATTTTTATCCATTGAATTCAACTCTTCTTTCATGGCATCACACCAATTAGAGGAATTCAAACTATTCATGGCTTGTGAGAAAGTAGTTGGATCATCACACTTTCCAGTATCAAAATTGAACTCTTGAAGATACACAATATAATTTGATGGAATTATATATTTCTTAACCCTTCATGACATCCTTAAAGTTTCTTCTTGCCTTGCTACATGCATAAGTGAAACAAGATTCTCAGTGACAGTGGGTTCAGTTACAAATGGTATATTAATAGTGGACTTATCCCACTAACTAGGTCATTTTTAAGAAATTTTGTATTCCGTGTCTCTACAATCCGCAGAGAATGATCAGGATAATAAAATATGTATCCCTTGAACTTCTTTGGATAACCAATGAAATAGCCACTTATGGTTCTAGGGTCCAACTTTTTCTCTTGGGGGTTATACACCCAAATCTCAGCTTAACAACCCCAGTTGTGTAGATGTGCTAAACTAGGTTGTCTACCTATCCATAACTCAAAAGGTGTTTTAGGGACAACCTTACTAGGAACCCCAAAAAGAAACTAGCAGAGTGGAGTAACTAATCATACTCCTAACCATATCCATTAGTGTTCGATTCCACCTTTCAGCTACTCCATTTTGATCAGGAGTACCTAGCATGATATCTTATACCACTATACCTTATTCCTGAAGGAATCGAGCAAATGGACCAAGTGTTGTCTAGATTCAGTGTACCTACCATAATACTCACCACCTTATCTGACTTCACAGCTTTGATCCTTTTATCAAGCTATAGCTCTACTTCTGTTTTAAACATCTTGAAAGCATCTAAAGTTTGGTCCTTATAAAACAAGATGCAAAGACAACCGTATCGTGAGA